AGCTGTATTTTCAGCATCATTCCTCCAGTCTTCAGTGTCACATGATCTTCAGAAATCAGTATAATATGCTGATCTGCTGCTCGAGAAACATTTCTGATTATTATTATTATTATTATTATTATCAATATTTAAAACAGTTGAGTAAATTTTTTTCAGGATTCTTTGATGAATAAAAAGATCCAAAAATCAGCATTTATCTGAAATAAAAAGCTTTTGAAGTCAGTATTTATTTTTTTTCTTGGCAAAGAAATTATAGAAATTAATACTTTTATTTAGCAAGGATGCTTTAAATTGATCAAAAGTGATGATAAAGACATTTATAATGTTACAAACGATTTCGATTTCAGATAAATGCTGTTCTTCTGAACTTTCTATTCATCAAAGAAACCTGAAAAAATTATACTCCGCTGTGTTCAACATTGATAATAATCAGAAATGTTTCTCGAGCAGCAGATCAGCATATTATACTGATTTCTGAAGATCATGTGACACTGAAGACTGGAGGAATGATGCTGAAAATACAGCTGCACATCACAGAAATACATTACAGTTTAACAGAGATTCACAGAGAAAACAGCTGTTTTACATTCTAATAATATTTCACAGTTTTACTGCTTTTGCTGTATTTCTTTAAGTGCATTTCTAAAAAATATATTTTCAGCATTAAATGTCTGGTGCAACCTGCCTCTTAATGCATTAATTTCATAAGAAGCTCAGATGTGCTCTACTTTCATAAAAAACAGGAACTCAAGAAACAAGCATTGTACAGTATTGCACAAAAGAAAGAAATTGTGTGACGGCATAAAGTAAACAAAAACAACGATCAAAAACACGTTTATAATTAGATTTAATCATCACGTGGACAGTCAACATGTGCTTATGCCTCTCACGCCACAAATAATATTTCTTTCCCCAATCATTTTCCAAAACCTAAAAAGTTTACATTATAGATATTGACCTTTTAAATTAATTTGCTTTTTCAAGTCTCTATTTTAAAAAACAACAACTTTATTTTGATTATTAAAAGAACAGATGCTCTACTTCAGCCAAAGTTATAAAATATTAAAATAAGCTCAAATTAAACGCCGATTACTGTTAGGAAGAACATTCGTATTATTTTTTTACTAGCTTTACTACAGCGAGTGGCTTCATTTGGCATCAATAATAGAGAAATAAGACTCTGGCATTTATTTAAAATCACTTCTGGGAAGAAACCGAACATTATGCATGTCACAGGATCACTCACAACGCAAGCGCTGCATCTCTTTCACAGAAAAAGAGCTGTTTGCATCCTGCACTACTGTAGGGTTAGTTAGCCGGTAGTCCTGCGACACGATCACACAGTTCTTCAGCGTTTAAGCAATCAGCAGCCAGAACATGATGAGGAGCGCCACGAACAGAAAGAGGCGAGACAGAAACTGCTCATCCGCGTGCTGAGGGGTTCCTGGAGCTGCTGCCGGGACACAAACACAGAGAAAACAGGTTCAAATCATCAACGCTGCTCTTTAACAAAGCATCGCTCCTTTACGGTTCACAGCTCGAGTCAATTACTCCACAGCTGATG